TAAAGTTCTTAATCTTATTCTTCCCCCCAAACTCAATATCCTCAAAGAACGTAGTAGTTCTCGTCTCAAAAATTGTCTTTAATGTGGGATCATAAAATTTATATCCCCTTGATCTTTTAGCATAACAAATAAAATAACTACTTACTGTTCATGAATCCAATTTTTTTTCATTTGGCTTATAAGGCCTTGCCTCAACTGGAAAACCCCACACATGAAAATGCTTCAGACTAGGTTGTCGCCCAGTCCAAAGCTCATAACGTGTTTTGGTAGCTGCTTTAATTGGTACTCTGTTTAGAATATAAGTTGTCGTATTTAATGCCTCTCCCCATAGTGATTTCGGTAAGGTGGAATGACAAATCATACTCCTTATCATATCTTTAAGAGTGTAACACAAGCTCAAGCGTCATGATTCGATTGTGACCTGAGCACTTATGCCATAATGCACCTGAGTGAGTATTTTCAATTTTACGTTTAGTACCACGTGATTCTGTATTAAGGGTTTCATTATAGGTGGCCACAATATCAAGTAAATACTGATTATCATAAGTCAAAAGTGAACCAGTTCTAACAATATCTGAATTAAAAGACAAACTGAACTTATTGTTTCCAAATGAACATAAATAACCTAATTTGTCAAAATAAGAAACTGAAACCAAATTTCGTCTAAATGACGGCACAACAAAAGTGTCTTTCAAATCCAAATAAAAATCAGTACTCAATAACAATTTAAAATGCCCTATAACTTCCACCTTTACCGATTTGGCATCTCCAACATATATCCATTTTTTTTTAAGAATCAATTGGCTTCTGGTAGCTTAGGCAACCCTTCATAGAAACACTGATGTTAGTAGTTGCACCTGAGTCTAACCACCAAGTGTTACTAGGTACTGATGCTAAATTGACTTCGAACGCAGTCGAAAGTAGGAAACATACTTTTGAGGATTGGAACGTAATTTAAATTGGTAGATACAAAAACAATTGTAACTCGAATTTAGAACACGAGAAATAAACTAATTATGCTCACATTATATAAAAAATAAATAATTATAAATATATATTCAAATAATGATTTAACCCATCTCAAGATACCCAATGCACCATCAATATCAAGTCTTTGGACAGTAATATTAACTGCTAGAGGTATCTTATTGTAATAATCAAACATTGACAATAAAGCACGTCCAACAACAAACCAGTCTTTGGATTGATTTATCATCGACAAAGCAAATCCTTATAATTATCACATATTTATCATTACAAGTGTGTATGCAATTCGGCCAAATATTAATCTTCCTTTGGGCCGACTAATATTCGCATGAATATACACAAACACTAACATTCGATATTTTTCATGAACTGCCCAATTCAAGAGAAGTTACTTTGGTGACTTCTTGACTCAATTTGCTCACAAAAAATATTAAACTACCAAAAATTGAATATTTTATTTATATAACAAAACCAAATATTTAATATTTGCAAACTAATTCAAAAGATAATCACCTCATTAGAATTTCACTAAGGATGAACACCTCCCTAGAATCCCATTAGGGATGAACACCTCCTTTGAACAAATCAAAGGATGAAAATACCTCATTTTCCACCAATACATAAAGGATGAACATCTCCCTAAAATCACACTAGGAATGAAACAGAGATAGATATGACCCTCTTAAACACACTCGCTCTAAACCCTAAAAGAGGATTAAACAATAATCACTCAAATCCTAAATAGGGAATTTAACATCAACTTTTCCTTAAATCCCTAGGGGATAAAGGCAATAAAATAATAACAACCACAGATGTGGAAACATTCACTAGTTGCCTAAGATCCTCTATGTTGGGAATTCCCAAAACACCACCCCCAATTCCAAACTCATCCATATCCATCATGAAAAGATAACGAAAACAAAACCCATAAAATTAAATAAAAACAAAAATAAAAGATTCAAAGAGAACAGAGAATTCAATACAAGAAAGATTGAAATTTGAAACACTATTTCTTTCTCAGTAAAACTTGAAACTTAAACTGAAACAAAAGGGAAAAACGAAGAAGAAGAAGAATTCATAGCTTCCTCCACGGTTCCATAAGCGAGCAGAATCAGATTGGGGATGTTACCCCCAAATTTAAATTTTAGGGTTCACGAAAATTGAAGATTATTCTCTACTTAGGGTTCATAAAATTGGGTAATTTGAATTGTTTAAAACAAAATTAATCCTAATTTTCATAATTAGGGTTCTATAAATTAAACAGACATGAATCAAATATGGGCGGTTGTGATACCAATTATTGGAAAATTAATAATAATAATAATAATAATCCTAATTTTGATTTTAACGATCAAACATAAACGTAATCTCATACTGATAAACATGTTGTAAACTGAATGCGAAAGCGTACTTGAATTAGCCATAATGATGATGTCTTTGTAGAGTAATCTTATGGTCTTCCACCTGAAGAGCACCAGTACTTCCCTCTTGATTTTCTCTCTTGATGGGGATAGAAAGAAAGGAACAGGATTGATACTTACGTTCTATGTGTGTGCTCCCAGAAGGGGACCATGACCCTTTAAATAACCAGAATTAGGTTAATTACTTAAGTTTTAGTATTTCCAATTTGGTCCCTCATCAAATTAGAAATTACTCTATAGTCTCTACACAATTTTATTTTCATGACATATGTCTTTAGCCAAAACTTTAATTTAGTCAGATCACTTTATTATTTGACTTAATAAATAATGACCCTAACACATTTAAATTATGTATTATATATATACATGACCCAAATTTTGCCAACATGCGTTAGTAAAGTGCTGAGAAAGGATCATCCTGGGTGTGTACGTTGTCTATGACTAGGAGACCTTCATAGTGTTGCATTTCAGTCTACCACAAGATTTAGTTGTGCAGAGTGCAATTTCTCAAATTCTGATTCGAGTGGAAGCTCTGAATTGAAAGAGGAAGTTATTCATTTAAAAGAAAAATTAGCAACTTCTGAAGAAAATGTCAAAATATTAAAAAATGTCATGCTTGCATACATCCAAATGAAAGAATGACACATTCCTCCTGAGTTGGGTCTCATGTTTGGTGGTACAAGTAATATAGTTGTAAGTACTTTATAGTTTGTTTTAAATGAAATTATATTATTTAATACTTGTATAAAGTTCAATATCTTATGTATAATTTCTAATTATGCTTACATGATATGATCTTTATTTTATAGGATGAAGAGAGTGGACAAGATATGTTAATATCACAAGGAGAATTTTCTTTAGATAGTAATTTTCATAAAGTTTGACATTATATGTAAGTATTTTATATTTTGTGTTAATAGAATTATATTGTTATTTCTATGGAGTTTAATATCTTTTATATATATTTTTAACTATATTAAGATGATAGTATTTTTATTTCATTGGATGAAGAAAGTGAATGAAATATGCCAACATCATAGGAGGATACTCATTGGATAATAATTTTCATTAAGTTTGACATATATGTTGTGAAATTTGTGGATCTATTGACATCAGTATCTTATTAGATACACTTTATTAATGAATAATGTAATGAATTTTATTGACTTTTAGGATGAAATTTGATTTTATCTTAGTTGATATTGAATTATATTTAGCTAAGCACTTTGTCAAAGTGAATTATATCTAAAAACTACAAATTTAGTCATTTTTGTAGTAAGAATCAAACTAATATTTTATGTCATTAAAACAAATGAAAAATATATTATATATTTTATTAGATTTTTTTAATATAAATAATTTAATTTACTGATATATCATATATTTAGATTTTTTATTTTATTATAATGATAAAATTATTATTAAATTTTTTAAAGTAATTCTAAATAAAAATGTATTTTAATTATTAATTATTAAAAAATAATTTGCAAATAATAATTAAAAATTTTATTTATTGTTAAAATAATTAAAAAATAGTAATTAAATAATTTTTGGCAATTTTTTAAACCTCTAATAAATTTTAAATAATTATAAAATATTATATATATTGCAGCGGTTTTTTATTGTTGAAATATAAAATTAATTATAAAAATAACATTTGTAACAATTTCAAACTACAACAAAATGTTAAATTAAAATGAGAATAATAATGCATTTTGTCAAGATTTTTAACTCTTGAAATTTTTTTCTTTTTTGACATAAATACCAACATTTAATAAATTTCTATTATAAATCATTTTTAACGGTATCACAATTATATTAATTATAAAATCTACCATTTTAACATCTACAAATGACATATTTATTTTTAGTGTTTAAATATTATAATTTATATTAAAAATCAAATTAATATATAAAATATCACTAATAAAAATTGATATTATATTAATTATTGAGTGATTAGTGTTTATAATAAAAAATTGTGATGAAAACATAGAAGAATTCTTTAAATTAAAAAATATTTACCTGTTAATCTAAATAAAGAGCTCACATAATAATAAATAGATTCATTTTAAAATAATAAAATCAAACCAATTTACACCACAAACAATATTTATAAAATCCATTATATTTATATACCTATTTATAATAATAACTATATTATTATAAATAAATTTTCTATAGATTTTTTTTACTGAGTGTGTAGTTAAAATATCATGAACCAATATAATAATAAAGTATAATATACACATTTCTTTTAAAAGCACTTACTAGCATCATTTAAAATCCCTAACAATGTCAAAAGCATTAATAACTCAAATAATAAAATTATATTATTAGGTGGAGTCGTCAACCCGTTACAACTTGTTCAACTAATATTTTTCTTCTTTTGAAACCCAGAACATCAAAGAGTTTTTTTTTTTTTTTTTAATTTATTCAAATATTCAATACACACTGTTACCAGACTTGCACAACATTAATGACAAACACACACGACAAAGAAGCAACAAGAACTGTTTGGTACATTATTTTTTTTTGGAAAGTTATATATATTCACCTCAACCCTGCAAACACTGTAATCAATGGCATTTGTCACTTCTTGCAAACGATTCCCAAGCCATAAGAAAACTTGGAGCAATCAAGGGTGCCCATTAACTCTGCACTCAATTCATTGCCCTCTTTGTGATGTGAAGGTTTGGAGAAGACACAAGAAGCACAGTTTGGAGAAAGCAAGGAGGAAGTCCTGTATTTGTCCTCTCCTCCAACAACAGGCATTGCCACCCCAACCTTTGCAGGGTTCTCAAAATCTTCCCTATAAGTCCTCCCAAGCACACCATCCACCTTAGAGGACAACCCAAAGAACCTGAATTGAACTTCCAAGTGGGCAAAGCAATCATCCTCAGGCACTTGGTAGTTGTGAATCGCATCATCTTCTTTGGTCACTGGCACCACATTCACCATAATTTCGGCAACATCCTCTAGTGTCACTATGATACTGTTCCTTGCAGCTACTCTCTCCACTTTCACGTCATTTTCTGGAGAGCGCCAAGTGGAAAGAGGGCCCTCGGGGAGAGCAAGATGGTTTCCGTTGTATGTGAATTTGAGATGGTCGACATTTTCATTCCATTGGGATGTTTTGGGGGCTTCAAGTGAGAAGGTTTTGGAGTTGAAGAGGATTCCAAGGGCTTGAATCCATGTGTAATCTCTGGCTCTACCTGCTGGCCTGTGTCCAATGAAGCGTGCATTGATTTGAAGAGTTGAGTCAGAGACTAAGGTGAAGTGTTCATTGCTCTTTCCGTGGAAGTAGAACACCACTACTGCAGAAAAGACTTTTTACATCAGTTAAAATGGGCTTTCGACGTCGGTTAAAGTGGCGACATAGATACGGGGGTCATAGAAAGTAAGGCTTTTTACGTCGGTTCCTAATAGCCGACGTAGAAAGTCTTACTTTCTACGTCGGTTATTAGGAACCGACGTAGAAAGCCCTACTTTCTGTGTGCTATTATGATCGGTCAAATAGGTTATGATCGGTCATAGAGCTATTCTGATCGATCATAAGTGGTTCTGATCGGTCATAGAAATACTTTCTACGTCGGTTAGCTAGGGAACCGACGTAGAAAGTATTATTTTGTATGAGCTTTTCTGATCGGTCATAACTGGTTATGATCGGTCATAAAGCTAATCTGGTCGATCATAAGCGATTCGACTGTCATAACACTTTCTATGTCGGTTAACACTTATAACCGACATAGAAAGTCTTACTTTCTAACTTTCTATAACCCTGAGTTTCTATATCGGTTAATAGTAACCAGTGATTGTATGTGTTTTCAATGTCGGTTATACTTATAACCGATATAAAATGTTACACTTTCTACGTCGGTTATGTCGTTACCGACGTAGAAAGTACTTTCTACATCGGGTAATGAGATAACCGAGCGTAGAAAGTGTTATTTTTTTAAAATAACGGCATTTTATTTACAGATTCTACCTTTCTTCGAGTAGACACTGCCTATTCATCACGGTTCCAGGCAAATAACCACAGATCCGATGCAGACAGATATGCACAGTTCATATATAAATTTGCTACGAGATATCCAGCACGAGATAGATTCGATTGCGAGACGAGATATATATGTACATATGAAACAGATTGCAATGAATATATGTACGGACAGATGCGGTTCCAGACAGTTCATTTACTTAAATCAATTCCTAACTTAAATCAATTCCAGTACGAGACAGATCCAGTTCCTAACTTAAATCAATTCTATCTAAATTGTTGCAAGTCAAATTTCCTATGAAGATTGAATGCTTAAAAGGAAAGAAGCTCATCTGCTCTACGATATCGTCTATGACTTCAATCTTCATGGGAGATGAGTCCGTAAATTCCTACATATTGAAACATTTCGATTTAGAAATCATTTACATAATTGGCATATTTGACTTAATTATAGTATATTTACCTTATGCCACGTGTCAAGCATATTTTTGGCTACAATGGTGTGCATGTGCTTCATCACATAAAACCCGCACTCATGGCTTCCCGGTTGGCGTGGACACTACAAGTTAAATACATGTGAGATTAACTTTAAATGACAAATTGAACAACAGTAAGAGGTGTTTGGTCACCTTTGGTGCAATATACGTCAACTTCTTCCTAGCATGAGATGGAAGACCTTGCAACCTTAGGTGAGCTTCCAAAGCTCTACAAAAGGACAAATAATTTTGGTGTAAGTAGTGCACATATGATACAACAATTAAAAACAACCAAACTTACGCGTCTATGTGCTTTCTAATATCCAAAGCATTTGGTTTCTTGTGTAATGAACACAAGAGAATCACAAGAAATTGGCAAGTATGTTCGGTTACCATGAGGTTGAGGAGCTAATTGTTCTCTTATACCCATTTCAACCATGTCCAAACGAGCATTGACACCATCTTTTGTTTTTCCTTGAATGTTAAGGAGCGTTCCGATGATACTGTCACACACATTTTTCTCTACATGCATGACATCTATACAATGCCTCACATCAAGAACCCTCCAATATGGAAGAACAAAAAGGATTGACATTTTCTTCCATATACCTGTGGCTTTCTTTTGCGTCTTTCCAAACTCACACGAAATTGTACTTACTCGTTGATATACTTCTTCCCCACTTAAAGGTGTTGGGGCTGCATCATTTTCTTGACACCCGTTAAATGATTTTTTTAATTTACGATATGAATGGTTTGAAGGAAGAAATCTTTGGTGTCCAAGGTACACTGTTTTCCTTCCATGTTGTAGTTGATAGTGACATGTGTCTTCTTCACATATCGGGCAAGCTTTATGTCCCTTTGTGCTGTAGCCACTCAAATTACCATATGCTGGAAAGTCATTAATTGTACAAAATAACATTGCACGCAACTTGAATAAGTCACCTGTGTACCCATCAAACACATCAACACCTTCCTCCCACAACATCTTCAAGTCTTCAACCAATGGGCTTAAAAAAACATCAATGTCATTTCCAGGTTGTGCGGGACCCGAGATCATCAAAGATAGCATCAAGTACTTACGTTTCATACACAACCACGGAGGTAAGTTGTAAATAACTAACACCACAAGCCATGAACTATGTTTACTTGCTTAAATTTCCATATGGATTCATTCCATCTGTAGCAAGTCCAAACCTAATGTTTCTTGGATCATTACCAAAATTCTGGAAGATGGAATCAATTTTTTTCCATTGCAATCCATCTGCTGGGATGCCTCAATCGACCATCTTTAATACGACTATCTCGCATGCCATCTAGTGAGCTTTGCATCATTTCCATTAGTGAATAATCGTTTCAACCTTGGAACAATGGGAAGATACCATAACACTTTTGCCTGGGTACCCTTCATTACATCATTGTCGAGAATCACCATCCTTCTTCTTGTATCGTGATTCCCCGCATTGTGGACATTCGTGACGGTTCTCAAATTCTTTCTGTACAACACACAATCATTCGGACATGCATGAATTTTTTGGTACTCCATACCCATTGGACACAATATCTTCTTAGCATCATAATTGCGGGTTGGCAATGTGTTACCTTCGGGGAGCATGTCACTCAACAACTCAAGCAATTCTGTGAAACTTTTATCGAGTCCACCCATTCTTTGCCTTCACATTGAACAATTTTAGTACCGCAGACAATCGTGTGAACTTAGTACAATTTGTATACAAAGGCTCTTTTGCATCATTGGACAACTTCTCGTACACATGTGTGTGTTGGAAGGCATCTTGTCCAAGCTCACAAATCATTTCCTCCAGCTGATCCTCCATCTCTAGATCAACTTCTTCTTTGTCTTCTACACTTGGCATGTTTAATAATTCACCATGCCATGTCCACTTTATGTAACTCTTTAGGAAACCATCGGAAAGAACATGTTCCCGAATAACTTCGATCGGTAATCTTCGCTCATTCAAGCGAGTTAACACAAGGGCAATAGAATCTTCCATCATTATCAGGAACATTCATCTTAGCAAATTCAAGGAATTGTTCTACTCCACTCTCATATTCATTTGTTGTTCGTCTATAATTGATCCAACTCCGATCCATTGTTACAAATCTAATTTTCAAAATCAAATTAGCTACATAAACACGAAATAACTACCTTATAATGCCTACACGAAATCCAACTCCACTCTCAAAATAACTACATTATAATACAAATCTAATGTTCAAAATCAAAATCACGAAAGAATGCCTACAGCAACACATTCAAATGACTAAACTACTTACAATACATCTCTAAATTAGCTAAAGGCACCCGTGATGTTTCCCTCTCTTGACAACATTATTACTTACTACATTCAATACTGTAAACCTACATTCAAAGCTGTAAACCTAAAATGGCTAAAGCAAGCACGAAAACTTACCTCTTGAAGACCTACGAGGCGGCAGGTGGCGTGACGTGCGGAGCTGGGTGGGTATCTCGGGCGACGGGCACCGGTAGCGGCACGCGGCACGAAGCGTTGGCGAGGTGGCGTGACGAGCAAATGTGGGTGCGGAAAAACGTATACAAGCGAACGGGTCAACTGATGAAAGGAAATGGAGCTTAGGGAGAAAGGGAGAAACGTACAGGGGAGCTCTGCTATGGGGGGGAAGTGAAGAAATGAAATGAAGCGCGGGAGGAGGGTAAAACAGAAGATACTATGTCGGTTGCCCTAACACCCGTCATCAAAGAGACTTTCTACGTCGGTTAAGATTTACCCGACATAGAAAGTAAACTTTCTACGTCGGGTAAATGTTACCCGACATAGAAAGTTAACTTTCTATGTCGGGTAAATTTTAACCGACGTAGAAAGTGACCTTTCCACTTACTATGTCGGTTAAAACTTACCCGACATAGAAAGTTTATGATTTTATTACAAAATTGCCACCGCGCCACATACTATGACGGGTGGATTACAACCGTGATAAAAACCCGTCATAGAAAGCTATTTTTCCACTAGTGCACTCTCCCATCCCCACCGATGAAACGGGGGTCAAAACAACCTGATCCTGGTGCATTGCAGTTTGGTTTGCGACCTACCAATCCCAAAAACCATTTTTATGATGCATCATTTTCATACTGTTCACATTTACATAACTCAACCAAAACACCACAACAAGTATAGGCAACTAATCTTCACAGGAGAATCTAACTGATCACCTTTTATTGAGTTTGTCTCCTAGTCTGAATTTTTTTATGAATAAAATTGGAACTCAAGATTTTATTTAATGGGGCTGTGTCCAATATTACTTGGATCTACAACTTTTTGGTGTAAAAAATATATAATATACATCTATTGTTTGAAAAGTGAACCTCTGATCAATGTTGGTTTTTTCTTATTTCTTTACATCAAATCACCATCACTCTGGCATATTATATTAGTCTCTAAACTTTGTAAAAAGAACATATGATGAGAAAGTAATATTTCAATGTTACTTTTCAAAACTTGTTCTCTATTTTGTTCAGTCTAATCTAAACTTAAATATTAAATTAGATAGACCGGTATCTTTTGAAAATTTTAAATAATTGTAAAGAAAAAAGGGTTAACTAGTGAAAAGAAGAAGAAGATAGATTTTAGATTATCTAAAAAGCTTTTTCAACTTTTGTTAACTAAAAGGTCAGACTGAATTCTACTTCTAACCAGTAGCAGAAAAAACTGAAGAGGAGGAACAAAGAAAGGATGGTTTGTCTTACTTCTGCAAACACCTCTGCATGTAGGTTTGTCGCAATCAATTTGACAAACTTTAGCCTTAGGATCTGTTGATTCACTGCTGGGGCACTCAGCTGGACATCTAATGTACTGTCCATAGCATCGACTTCCTTGGCTGCTACATTGCTTGTAATAATATGCATTGCCTTGCAGACTCATACACGACACAAACAAAACCACCACAATTGCTATTACACTGCCTTTAGTAATCTCCATACTTAAACTCTTGCTAATGAAATATAAGAAACAAGGAAGAGTCTCTTAATTGATGCAGCAACACCACCTCTCCCCTACTATTTATACATGCAACATCAACTGCATATGTTGCTTGCTTATTCTGAAGGTGGCGTTTGCGAACTTGTAGCCTAATCTATTGCTAGCTAGCTAGCTCAGATGGAAAGCATGAACATGGGTTTGGATGATTAAATGCAGAATCACCCAAGGGATTCACATAATAGTTGTCGTCTTGTAGAAGGGTATATGAATTTGAAGGTGTTAACTGATTTCTTTAAACTGCAAAGATGGTGTATGAATTTGATAAATGGACAAGGCAAGGGTACCAAGCCATATGATACGTTGAGAGTGAAATAATAATATATTAGTTCTAATATACATGAAGATACGTGTAAGCGTGACTTCTACATAGAGGGAGAGAGAGGCATAAATATATGTTTTTTTTTTTCTTATAATTTTTCAGTACATACATGCATTTTGCACAATTAAGTTAAGTAAATATGAAAAAGTGAAGTTGAGACTCTTTTTGACGGAAAGGCATAATAAAAGAGCAAAATATTCAAACAACACATTTCTTTCACATATCTAACCGACAACTCTTATATAATAATAATAATAATAATAATAATAATAATAATAATAATAATAATAATAATAATAATAATAATAATAATAATAATAGTAATAATAATAATAATTATTATTATTATTATTATTTAAATTTTTACTACTAAAATATTTATATAAAATTTGTTAGATGATTGTATTTTGAAAAGAAATTGTCAGTTTCTATAATAAGATAAGTGGTTGTCAGTGAAATTATGTTTTCTAGGTTGTTTCTTCTTCGGCCAAGAAACTGGGGTAAGCCTTATGACAAAGTCCAAAGCGTACGACTGTTCATAAAATTAAGCAGCAAATATTTCAGCATTTACGGATAGTTAGCTTTAATTATAATTTTGTTCTTTATTTTTAAAAAACTTTAAATCTTGATTTTAATTTTTTTTTCAGTTTTAATCTTTTAATTTTAACTATTCGTTGTTTTGGTTGTTGAACTATTTTTATACAATTTTAGTCCATTAACTTTTAATTATCCATAATTTTTATTTTAAAAATACGTAAATTTACTATCAAATTAAATTTTATAAAAAATATTTTTCAATCAATCTCGTAAATAATAAATTGTAAAATATAAAATAAGTTTATTTATCTGGTTTAATATTGATACAAAAAATTCAAAATAATTTTATTTTACATATTACAGTTTTTTTCTTTTTTAAGTATATTTTATTTTCTCTCTTTATTGATTTTTTTTTTATTTTTTCATGTCCTCCATTAAGATTTGTTTTCTAATGAATATTTTATTATTTAAAAAAATCATTCAAAAATACTATATTTTACTATATTATATTTGAAAAAAAAAGTTATATGATAAATTTAAGATATTACGTATATTATTGATACGGTATAATTATTAAGAAAAATTTAAATATTTATTTTAAATTAACTTTTTTAATAAACATTTTCTTAAATTACTTCTGACTAATCATTATTATTTAACCTAATTATAACTAAATTAAATTAATAAATAAAAATATATTTAATTCATAATATTTGATATTTTTTAATATTTTATAATTAAGTGAGTAATTCATTTATTGTAATAAAAATAAAAGTTGGAGGGGTCAACACACTAATCAATGAATATATCGACAACCAAAGTATAAGCTACCAAATCTTATTAAAATAAACTCTAATATCATATTGAAAATAAATAAAAAATCTAATCTTACAAAATAAAAATAAAAATAAAATTATAAATCAATTATATATTATAAATTAGTTATACCTCAAATAAAATATATCTTTTGTTTATTATGATATTTATTATTAACCTAATATTTTATTTTTAAATGAAATATTCTTTAGATATTTTATCTTATATCAAAATATTTAAAATATTTTATCTTATATCAAAATATTTTATCTTAAATAAAAAATATTTAAAGTGAAAAATAAATATATAACATTTTTTTCAGATATTGCCTAAATTATGGCTATACTTGCGTCTCCACAATCTAAAAGAACAAAAAGTATATTATTAAAAATTAAAAATAAAATAGAAATTAATAATAGGTACCTAAAAAGAAAAAAAAAATGCAACATTTGAAACCTTACTAAGGTTAGGACCACAGGCCAAAATATTAACGTCTCATTGTATTTTAAAAATCAAAATTTACTGAATTCATATCTAGATCTCTATATGAATGCTTAAACTAGTGTCCTTTTAAAAAAAATGAACATAAAAAGACTAATTTATTGTCTTAACTATGGGGCGTATAAAAAGTTACTAATGATAATGAAAATAAAATCATGTAACTTTTATGACTTATCTAAAAGGATTGAGGCTTTTAATTAAACATATTAAGATATACTTCAACATAATTTACATTAATCACTATATTATAAATAAAAAATAATATAAGTATTTCATAACATAGAAGATGTTACCAATCAAGCCTTCCACAATCAGAATTTTGTAGAATGATGGAAAATTTCACTTTCTATCAGTTTATAAATTATAACTTATTATGCATATTTAAGATAGAGAAGAATATAGTGTTATAAGATAAGGAGTATTATAAAACTTAGAACGTTACAAATGAAGTAGGTAGTTAGAGTTTTGGGTCAAATTTATACATAGAGATCTCTTCATATTTTTCTAAATACACTTCTCTCATCTTTTCTTCTATATATTTTTTTTCATACTATTATTATCTTAGGTTTATTTACTTCTTTAAGAGTTTCTTGCTAGTTTATGATATTCTCGAAAATTCCGAAAAGTTCTTGTTGTATCTTAGGAAACTTAGCAATATACTGCGGATAAAGGATAGTGATTATACACACCTCAGAAATAGAGTTTGTTCGTGTCTATGTCAGCTTTTAGAACGTATAACTAGCTCCTATAATTTCTTTTTTCTTTCAATTTTATTTTCACCTTTTTACTATTTAAAAAAAAAAACAAATTATGGAGAATAAATTTAAGAACTACAATTGCAAAATTTATATATGGAGAATAAAATCACAATTAATCCTATTAGTTACATATCAACATCATTTACCTGAAAGCATCATAAATTAATATATTATTTCAGCTGTCTCATATGCTGTAGTTCCTTACCTCTGCCATGTCCATTGATCAAAAGTATCTATACCATCTTTGCAGTTGAAGCAATCATTTAACTCCTTCAAAATCATGTAGTCTTCTATAAGAATACAACAATTATGTGAATCCATTTGATGATTCTGCATTCAATCATTCAAACCCATGTTCATGCTTTCAATCTGAGCTAGCTAGCAATAGATTAGGCTACAAGTCCGCAAAAGCCACCTTCACGAATCACAATAAGCAAACAACATATACAGTTGATGTTGCATGTATAAATAGTAGGGGAGAGGTGGTGTTGCTGCATCAATTAAGAGACTCTTCCTTGTTTCTTATATTTCATTAGCAAGAGTTTAAGTATGGAGATTACTAAAGGCAGTGTAATAGCAATTGTGGTGGTTTTGTTTGTGTCGTGTATGAGTCTGCAAGGCAATGCATATTATTACAAGCAATGTAGCAGCCAAGGAAGTCGATGCTATGGACAGTACATCAGATGTCCAGCTGAGTGCCCCAGCAGTGAATCAACAGATCCTAAGGCTAAAGTTTGTCAAATTGATTGCGACAAACCTACATGCAGAGGTGTTTGCAGAAGTAAGACAAACCATCCTTTCTTTGTTCCTCCTCTTCAGTTTTTTCTGCTACTGGTTAGAAGTAGAATTCAGTCTGACCTTTTAGTTAACAAAAGTTGAAAAAGCTTTTTAGATAATCTAAAATCTATCTTCTTCTTCTTTTAACTAGTTAACCCTTTTTTCTTTGCAATTATTTAAAATTTTCAAAAGATATCTAATATAATATTTAAGTTTAGATTAGACTAAACAAAATAGAGAACAAATTTTGAAAAGTAACATTGATATATATTACTTTCTCATATGTTCTTTTTACAAAGTTTAGAGACTAATATAATATGCCAGAGTGATAGGTGAAATTGATGTAAAGAAATAAGAAAACCTCAACATTGATCAGGTTCACTTTTCAAACAATAGATGTATATTATATATTTTTGACACCAAAAAGTTGTTGATCCAAGTAATATTGGACACAGCCCCATTAAATAAAATCTTGAGCTCAAATTTTATTCATAAAAAATTCAGACTAGGAGACAAACTCAATAAAAGTTGATCAGTTATATTCTCCTGTGAAGATTAGTTAGTTGCCTCTGCTTGTTGTGGTGTTTTTGGTTATGAGTTATGTAAATGTGAACAGTATGAAAATGATGCATCATAAAACTGGTTTTTGGGATTGGTAGGTCGCAAACCAAACTGCAATGCACCAGGATCAGGTTGTTTTGACCCCCGTTTCATCGGTGGGGATGGGAGAGTGTTCTACTTCCACGGAAAGAGCAATGAACACTTCACCTTAGTCTCTGACTCAACCCTTCAAATCAATGCACGCTTCATTGGACACAGGCCAGCAGGTAGAGCCAGAGATTACACATGGATTCAAGCCCTTGGAATCCTCTTCAACTCCAAAACCTTCTCACTTGAAGCCCCCAAAACATCCCAATGGAATGAAAATGTCGACCATCTCAAATTCACATACAACGGAAACCATCTTGCTCTCCCCGAGGGCCCTCTTTCCACTTGGCGCTCTCCAGAAAATGACGTGAAAGTGGAGAGAGTAGCTGCAAGGAACAGTATCATAGTGACACTAGAGGATGTTGCCGAAATTATGGTGAATGTGGTGCCAGTGACCAAAGAAGATGATGCGATTCACAACTACCAAGTGCCTGAGGATGATTGCTTTGCTCACTTGGAAGTTCAATTCAGGTTCTTTGGGTTGTCCTCTAAGGTGGATGGTGTGCTTGGGAGGACATATAGGGAAGATTTTGAGAACCCTGCAAAGGTTGGTGTGGCAATGCCTGTTGTTGGAGGAGAGGACAAATATAGGACTTCCTCCTTGCTTTCTCCACACTGTGCTTCTTGTGTCTTCTCCAAACCTTCACATCACAAAGAGGGCACTGAAGTGAGTGCAGAGTTAATGGGCACCCTTGATTGCTCCAAGTTTTCTTATGGCTTGGGAATCGTTTGCAAGAAATGACAAATGCCATTGATTACAGTGTTTGCAGGGTTGAGGTGAACATATAACTTTCCAAAAAAACAATGTATGAAACCGTTATTGTCGCTTCTTTCTTTCTTCTCTGTTTCATGTGTAAGTCTTGTGTTGATGTTATTTAATATTTAAATAAATTTTTAAAGAAAAAATAAAATAACCGAAGTTCTGGTTTTTAAAAGAATCCGTGTTTATACTTTCTAGCCAGACATGCTTTAAAATTGTGTAATTAAGATTCTAGGTAAAGGTTAACAGGACATGACATTATCATTCGCTGGATATAAGACAGTAACATAATTTATAATTTTATACTAAACTTCGTTATCATTTAATATATTTATATATTTATAATTTTATTTTATTATTATTTATTAATAATATATTATTTGAACTCAAAATCAATCACCAAAATTTATGTAATCCACCTAAAAAGGTTAAACCACAAGAGTTTAAATTCCATTGTTAATTTATTATATAATACAAAAATATACCAAAAAAATTATAAAATGTAAACATTATTTTATGTACAAGAGGTCCTACTCTCTTTTTTTTTCTTATGCCCTTTGTCATTACCATAGATTAACACCACAAAGTCATTACCAATAAGTTATTTACATTATTTAATGCTCCGTTAGTTTCAAGGTAGAGAAAGATTTTACACCGATTAATGCAGAAACACGCTCTGGTCTTGTTCGCTTTAAGTGATACATACCCAAATTTTGAAATTTTTTTCAATGTAAATCCCAAAAATATTTATCAGAATGTTTATTATGCTAGCTTAGCTCAAGTTCCGATCTTCACAATTATTTATATTCTTTAAAAAAAATCTTTAGAATCACTTCCCAGATAATCCAATTCATAATTTAGATTTTTTTTCTACGTATGTGAATTTTTAATTTGAGGTAATTATATACATTAAAGTAATCATATATTATAATATAAGTAAATAAAAGTATTATTAATATACTACTATTAACTGAATTTTAAATTAATTTCAAAATAATTCAATTATTTTTTAAAAACATTTAAGTTATATAATAAAAGTACAATAATATTTTCTTATCATATATTACTTTCATATTATGATTATGAATTGAAATTTATTATAATATATAGATAAAATAATTATTTATAAGTATCAATTAGTATATATATATAGAGAGAGAGGGAGAGAGAGATAAAATAATTAAAATATGATCAATTAATTTATAAATAAATAGTATGTAAATTTTAATACTAATTTTAAACAGTGTTAATACTAGGTTAATAATGTAAAATTGTAATTAATTCAAATATTAAATGTTAATGATGAAAAATTTAAATGTATTGATGGTATTTTTTATGTATAATAATTATTAGTAATGATTTTAAATTTATCTTAACATTAAATTAATATAAAATTTAAAATAGTAAAAGGATTTGGATTAAAAGGATTGATTTATTTTTTTTTAAATTGTATATATTATTATGAACAACTTAGATTAAATGAAATTTACTTAACTGTGCTATAATATATTGATTAATCTAATTTCATGTTTTAAAAATTATTTTCAAATTAAAAATCATAAACATAAAAGAAAATTTTAAAACCTAATATATCGAGAAACAGAATTCCAACCTAGTTTTCCGCGGTATTTATAATTTTCATGAGGAATTGAATTCTGAACTATCACATTAAATATTTTTATTTTGTAAAAACTATGGGAAATATTTTTACAATGGGTTTAAATGGGAATTTAAAAAAAAATGGTTTATCTGGGAAAACAAATTAATTTTTTATGAAAATATAACAAGTCAATTTTTTAATGAAATTATAACTGATTATAATTTGTCAATATTTTTTTAATATTTATATTGCAAACTACTTTTGTAATATTAAATAATAAATAAATTTAATTTATTTTTTACCATTTTTATTTTAAAAATTCAAACAATTTCATACTTTTTTTTCTCTTTTTATTAGATTACTTTTAATCATAACTTAAACAAAAAGTAAGAGTATTTTTCCCGTCACGTTCATATTTAGTTTTTACATATATTTTAAATTTATATTATTTTGTTCAATTGAAAGTAGTGAGACTAGCAAAGTCAAACAATTATTTTGCCTAGGAACTTTCAACAGTAACAGTGCTGCAGAACAGATTTCAGAAATTGAAAATGGCAGAACTACAAGATCTGGTAACTCTTCTTTCCATAGATGCTTTCTTTTTTCCTCCATATTTTATTGTTTCTCATGTTACTGAAACTCACCTGATATCAAGGTTTCTAGTCAAAATATATTAATTCAAGACGAAAGGTGATGTTATTCCAACACTAGAAAGCAAAACATAACGAGTCTTCAATCCTCATTCAACAGATATGTTTCCAGGCATCGCAGAAAGTGTAAAGCAGACTCTGCTGTCTTCACTGGTTGAGCATTTTCTTCAGTCTCCGACTCATGGTTGAAAAAAATCTTCACGTTGACCAAAGTCTTATCCTCTCCAGTTGCAGATAGTTGAAAAGTTGTCTTGTAGTATGAGAAACCTTGCTCCAGATACCCTCCTTCAACCACTTGCAACCCAATTTCGTGAGAAATCTCATCAAGCTCTGTGATCTTCTCCTTCTGGTAACTCACTGGAGTCACACCTGAGACCCCACAATGAATTTGACTTGCATTGCATTATCGAATGAACCATGAAATCTGTATGATAAAATAAAAGTTTGAAAGAAAATCCTCACCAGAGAAAAAAGTGAAGAGAAAGATTGTGCCTACCCCTCCATCACCTTCCACCAATTTCACATCTTTCACAATGTTTGGTATAACCTTTGCAACTGTGACTCCCAGATCCTTTGACATGGCTTGCCACAGGGCTTCCAACCCTACACTCACCTCGGTTTTCTCGCTGAATTCTTTTGTCATGACTTCTTAACGTGGAATCTAAACAAGGAAGGGTGACATATATGTAGGGGTTATCAAGGCATCACATGGCCAAAATAAATTGAAAAGAATATAAAAAATTATGATCAAAATTAAATTAAATTAGTTCAATTTTAATTTGATACTATTATTTTAAATAAATAAAAAATATTATAGGTATATTATATAATTTATATGCCAAATTATTATATTTAAAATTAAATAACAAATAATATAAATCATCAAAATCAATAGTGTATATAGTAATCATTAAAAATAAATTTATATTATGATATGAATTATTTATTATAAATAAAAATAAGAATTATATATTTAATGGTATTTATTTATCGTGTATATTTTAAAATATTTATATATTAATTTTACTTGTTTAAAAAACATTTTAACAAGAATAATACACAATTTAAATGAATTTTCTCAAAAAATTCAAATAGTAGAAAATTATTATAAAATACTATGGAAGAAAAAAACTTATGTATTTGTCTAAATTTTTTTATATTATTAATTTTTTTCTATTTCTATTTTATATATATTATACTCTTTTTTTTACTATTCTCATATTTTTTCTCTTTCCTATTTCTTTAGATGCACAAGTATTTTTAATTTTTTTTTCCTTTTCACTACCTATATTTTTTATTCATTAAAAGAGAAGATAAAATATTATGATAAATATAATATTAAAATAAAAAATAAATAAGTTAAAATGTTGATGCAAATTTTCAATTTTATTGAATGTACAGTTGACACTAATTTGAATTCAGTTTGAAAAAGTAGGTGGGCCATTGTGTTTATTTCACCCTAGTGCTACACTGGTCCAATAGGCCCAATACTACAATAACATATATTATTTCCATTTTAACAATTATCAATTACTTTCATTTCTTTGTCCGGTTTACCTTAGTGCCCTTCTCGCTGCACGACGTGACTCCACAGAAGAGCCTTTCCGCCCAATCACTGTTTGTCTTTTTTCTCTATTTTTCTTACTTCTTTGTTCTGTTTCTCAATGGATTCAAACACTTACACAGTGATGTAAAACTTTTCCATTTTGCTGTGCAGAAGAATGATGTAAAACTATTACAGACGTTCTCAAAAAAAAAAAAAAATAGTGAAAATAATTGTGTTGGGATTTTTTTGTTAAAAGTTGATTGGTTTTGATGAATTCTGCATATCCTTATGCTCAACTCTAGGGTAGTTTGCTCTTCCATGGGGTTATGAAAGCAGTTGATTAGAAGTGTAGGTAAGTTATTGGGTTCGAGGTTCTGGTGTTTTTGTGAACCCTGTTAGGAATAATGGAAACCCCATCTTCGAACGGATCCGTTACTAAGCGTTCTCTGAGGAGGAAAGTGAATTTGAGGAACTATGATGAGGATCTGATGGATGAGTTGTTTGAGAAGCAGTTGGGAGGTGGTTTGAAGAAAAGGAGTAGGACCAAAGAGGATTTGGAGAAGGAGACCGAGACGGAGGCTATGATTGCGATGTCACTTGGTTTTCCCATTGATGCTTTGCTTGAGGAGGAGGTTAGGGCCGGGGTTGTGAGGCAATTAGGTGGGAAGGAGCAGAATGATTATATAGTCATCAGGAATCATATCTTGGCTCTGTGGAGGAGGGGGAATGTGAGGTTGTGGTTGAGTAAAGGAATGATTAGAGAAACTGTGAGCAATGAGTATGAGCATTTGATTAATTCTGCTTATGACTTCCTTCTGTATAATGGCTACATAAATTTTGGGGTTTCGCCGGCATTTACTTCTCAATTGCCTGAGTCAAATGAGGGAACTGCTGTTGTTATTGGTGCTGGCCTGGCAGGATTGGCAGCCGCAAGGCAGCTGTTGTCGTTCGGTTACAAGGTTGTGGTTTTGGAAGGTAGGAGCCGGCCTGGTGGGCGAGTTTATACTCAGAAGGTGGGGCGTGAGGGGAAATTTGCTGCTATTGATGTTGGTGGGAGTATTATCACTGGGATTCATGCTAACCCTTTAGGGGTTTTGGCTCGACAGCTTTCTATACCACTTCATAAAGTCAGAGATAATTGCCCTTTATATAAGCCAAATGGAGCACCGGTTGATACAGAAATGGATGCAAGTGTTGAATTTGTATTTAATAGGTTGCTCGACAAGGTTATGGAGTTAAGGCAAATTATGGGTGGGTTCGCAAGTGATACCTCACTTGGTTCGGTCTTGGAGAAGCTCAGGCAGTTATATAGTGTGACCCGAAGTACTGATGAGAGGCAGTTGCTTGATTGGCATCTTGCAAATTTGGAATACGCAAATGCTGGGTGCCTTTCAAATCTTTCGGCTGCCTATTGGGATCAGGATGATCCTTATGAAATGAGTGGTGATCACTGCTTTCTTGCTGGAGGTAATACAAGGTTGATAAAAGCATTATGTGAAGGGGTTCCTATTTTTTATGGAAAGACCGTCAATACTATAAGATATGGGAATGAGGGTGTTGAGGTTATTGCTGGGGACCAAGTCTTTCAAGCAGATATTGCCTTATGTACCGTGCCTCTTGGAGTTCTGAAAAAGAAGGCTATCAGTTTTGAACCTGAATTACCTGCAAGGAAACTGGCAGCAATTGAGAGGATGGGGTTTGGGCTGCTGAACAAGGTTGCCATGGTTTTTCCTCATGTTTTTTGGGGGGAAGACCAAGACACATTTGGATGTCTCAATGAATATAGTCATCAACGTGGGCAGTTTTTCCTATTTTACTGTTACCACACAGTTTCTGGAGGCCCAGCACTTGTTGCGCTGGTGGCGGGTGAAGCTGCACAAGTCTTTGAATCCACAGATCCTTCCATTTTACTCCATCGGGTTTTGACTGTTTTAAAAGGTATCACAATTATTTTATGAATTGTTAATGAAAAATTGAATGCTTGGATCATTATTGTATTAATGTATCCAATTATTGTAACGTTTGGTAGGCATGGTTTAACAGGATGAAACTTAACATATGTGTTCTGACTAAAAAATATACTAAATCTAAACATGGGCTTAAATATGATAGAATAACTTCATTAAGTTTTTTTTTTTTTAATTATAGAAAGAGAGTTGTTAAATAGCCTCAATAACGTAATTACTTAATGAATTGCTTGGATCTGCAATAGCAGCGACATTAGATTCGTGGTTGCGGCTGCATTCTACATCTGCTTGTCATCTTTGGGGGTCTCTGAAATTGAACTTTTGAGTTAATATTATGTCAATTTTTATATTATCATATATATAATTGATATTATGTCAATGCTATTGACTATTGCCAAGACTTGTCCAACCTGTAATTGAAAAAAACCCATTCCTTGCAGATTTTTTGCCACAAATCCATCTTCCCTTCATGTGGCACCATCGAACTTAAAAGCTGTCTGCATTTGTTTTGAAACATTCCATATCTAGGTGTTCTTTTAACTTAACACCATGAAACTTTCTCTTTGTTTTGGACATTTGGCTGCCTCAGCATTTCAAATGCCCTATGTCTCAACCTCTAAGACACCCATGATGACTTGACCTATTTGTCTCTCTGAACCCTTGAGTCCTTGATTATTGCAACTTATATGCAGATCCTCTTGCATCGTAAAACATGGTTGAAGATCTTATTTATTTATTTTGTTTTGGAAACTCATGAAACGGTTTTCTTTTGGGTTGCATTCATGTGCAAACCTATCCATTTAGGCTTTCATTTGGATATCATTTTATTTTTTCTTTATCTGAATACCACCAAACAGATAGATTGAGATTTAATAATACAATAACTAAAAATTAATAGCTAAATTCTTGCTTAAAATTTAATGATATAGCATATATTATTTTATTATATTCTCATACTTTTATGGTAAGTTATACTTTTACATTTTCATTGGATCTTACTTTGATTGAAAATAGGCATGATAGGAGTGGAGCAGCTGGTCGCTGCTAAGACTATAGTATAGGGTTATGGTGTCATGGTCATTATGGCTGCTGTAGGAGACAAGATTGCTGCCTGGTGTGTGCAGATTGGTCACAACAAAGCAATCAACATGAAAACAATGCTCTTAAATTTAAAAGTTTTAGCCGAATTTTAGGGGTTTTCATGTAACATAAGGGTTTTCTGTAGAGGAATAACCTAGACAGTCTTTATGTTGTTTCTGAATCCTGAATAGATGGTTTCTTCACAACCCTCTACCTCCTCTATGCCTACATTTTCCAGTGATCACCTATGTTTTCTGGCCAGCACATTAGTAGTTCAAGTTCCCTTTTGTTAATAATATGTTTTTCCCTTCTTGTTGCTTGTCATATGTTGCCCTATTTTTCCACTCACTATTGAGCATGTCGGTAACCTACTCACTCATCCCCCCCTCTCTCTTCTCTTCTTTGATATGTTGTTTTGAAATCCTTATCTAATTGGGTGAGGTCAGTTTCATAGATCTCATTGTGCCTTTGACCATGGTTAAAGACCAAATTCTCAAGGATGTGATTAATGATCGAATCCTTCTGACTAGTTTCCTCCAATATCCTACGTAAGAGTAGAAAAATGAGAAAAGCCATAAATACTTAAACATATCTAAAGCATATTTCCTTTGTGAAATTACAATATCTTGCTTTGATAGAGTCACTTTGATGCCTAGAAAGTATTTGAAAGTGATTGCATAAATGGCTTTTTAGCTAAGAGATATTAGCAACATTATTCCCTATAATAATTATGCATCAACATGCACAATTAAGTAAACATATTTTCCAAGAGAGGTATGATAGTAAAAAACAAAATGATTTGGTTCATTTAGTTTTATTCCAAAGAATTAAACAATGTGACAAATTTTTTGTGGAAATTGCTTAAGACCATAGAGAGGTTGTTCCATGAAGATTTCCTTAAGTAAACCAATCTGACTCTCCTTGAGCAATGATTTCAAGAGGTTGTTCTATGAAGATTTCCTCCTGTGGATCACCATGAAGAAAACATTATTGATATCCAATTGATGGAGAGGTCATGATGAATAACTACTATGACAAAGAAGTGACAAACAATAGTCATTTTTGCTTAGTGTATCCTTTGGTTATAGCTTGGAGATGATCAATTTCAATGTTGCATCAAACTTCAATGGTGTAAACTCAATGATATCCAACAATATTCTTCTTAGGTGGAAGATGAACTAATTCTCATGTCTATCATGTTCAAGACCCTACATTTCATAATCATGATTTGTCGCTTCCCAAAATGGTAAGTGTTTCATTCATATTTTTAAGAATCGTAATAGAAGAAATAAAGGAGATAAAGGAAAAATATGAAAGAGACAACCAATGATAGCTTAAAAGATTATAAATAGGGTGAAGATTACAGGTAAAACCAATAACTTTTAGTTTATACTACTGATATTTGACAAAGTTAACATCTTGTACGGAAGGAAACAACTAATGATAGCCTAGCCAACCGACAAAAAAATTAACATCTTCTATGGATGAAGGAAAGAAAGGAGTTTTTCCAAAAAATGTGATACTTGTATACATATAATACTTTGTTGTTTCAAGAGAATAATATCAATACCATTTTCTCCATTGAAAATTGGGGTTTGATTAATCGAGACACCTCAATTGAAGGGTAGTTGGTATCCAACCATTTCAAGGAAATCTTTCTTCAATTAACTATCTAGTTTCTAGTTCTTGGTATCAGTCATAAAGTAAAAAAGTCTTGATCCGAAAGGGGAGTGAATGGATAACAAATTTTTTTTTCAAGCCTTAACAAAAATGTAAAATTTTCTTTGAAACTGTTGATTTGACAATGTATGATCTTGTTTATTGATGTTAAGATATGAACCGGATATTCCAACTATGCTTTGGGTCAAAATGATTTTTAGTCTAATTATATTAGTCTAGACTGTTAAGGTTCCAACATAAAACCAATTGGCAATATGTGGAGTAGCCTAACATGTATTTAAACCATACCAAATGACATGAAGTAGGCGATGTGGGACTTTCAACACACCCCCTCCAACGAAGCCTGTCGGACCAGGCAAAGGGTACTTTTGACCCAACTAAAAAGCAACTTTTGGCCCATGACAATAACCGGAAAGATGTTAGGCTTTGGCTCTGATACCATGTTAAGGTTCCAACATAAAACCAATTGGCAATATGTGGAGTAGCCTAACATGTATTTAAACCATACCAAATGACATGAAGTAGGCGATGTGGGACTTTCAACATAGACAATGTTTTATATTAGGCTAATTGGACCAGTTCATTGAGCTCAACCAATTTGTTAACAGAATATATATGTATGTAACTAAAGACAGTGTTTTGTTCTGATGCATATGTAAGGTTTTGCATGGTTTTGTAGTTGTTACTAAACACCCTAAATGAAACAATAATGTCTCATTCCATTCCATTTTGTTTCTTTATGTTCTATTCATATGTCAAATGCTACCTATTTACTTCTATTCACCTTATGCTCAATGTATTTTTCTCCTTTTGTGACACTTGTTAGTTCAATATTAAGGATATTTTTCAATTGCAGATTATCCCTCAATTGCCTTGTTTGACATGTTACTTGTTCTTCAGGAATATTTCATCCTAAAGGCATTATTGTGCCTGATCCAATTCAGTCAATTTGTACGAGATGGGGAAGCGATCCCCTTTCTTATGGGTCATATTCTCATGTTAGTGTCCATTCATCTGGTGATGATTATGATATACTAGCTGAAAACGTGGGAAACAGGCTGTTCTTTGCTGGTGAGGCTACAAGCAGACAATATCCAGCAACTATGCATGGTGCCTTCTTGAGTGGCTTGAGGGAAGCTTCACGCATTTACAGATCTTCCCGGCTGCAAAACAATCCTAGGAAATATATGCCAAAGAGTATTGGACTAAACCATGATGTATTGGTTGAATTATTCAAGAGACCTGATTTTGAATGTGGAAAATTTGCTTTCATTTTTTATCCTTCATCAGAAAGTCTACCATCAATGGGCCTTCTACAAGTCACTTTTGGTAATGCTGAAGAAGGTTATGAGGAGCTGTTAATAAGTTATCCGAATACGACTAAGTGGCCATTACAGTTGTACACTGTACTATCCCGTGAACAAGCGCAGCAGCTACAACTAGTTGAGGGAGGGGATGAAAGCAGACTATCATTTTTGGTTAAAAACCTTGGCCTCAAGCTCATGGGACCAAGTGCCTTGTTTACAACAGGTAACACATTAGTAGCTAACATTGCTTATTCGCGAAAAGGGCGGGGGAGGAACCGCTTAATTACTTGTTAAACACCATATCTTAAAGAGATGGTTTCTGCCTCTTGTCTTGAGCTGAAACCTTGTGCTATAGACACCCTTACAAAAGAATTTCTTGGAACTAGCATGACTTTTCTTTTCTGCTTCTGGGGTGAAAAGTCTGTATATAATAGACTTTTTTTAGATCATTGATTTGATGCTAGAGATACAAAATTTTTGAAGGCTTGAGTAGCAAGATTATTCAATTTTAGAAGAAAAGTCTTCAGTCATGGATCAGGTATGTAACCACAGGAAAATTAAATGAAATTTGATGACGGAGATATTGGCAGTCCAAAAGGGGTGAAGAAATTGTAAACAGAGGGGTACAAGGCCCCCCAATTGTATCATCTAATCAAATTGTGCTCATGTAGAAGTAGTACTTACCTATACCCTGCCCCTGAGGACATTACTGTTGTTCTTTTAATTTTTATTTTTTTCGTAGAGCCTGTGCAAACTTGTACTTGTATAATACAATAATTGTTTCTTTAATTCTTTGATTTGGAAGATTTTCATGTCCGCAAAATTGTTTCATACCTCCTATGTGTATAGATGTGCTTTAGTAGTTGAATTTCAGGAGGTACTTTTAGAACTTCTGTTTGCATGTTTGGATAGTTGAAATGGAGTTTTATTATCACAATTGTGATGTTGAAAAGAAGAAAAAGTGGTTGGTTTTAATTGTCAAAAGAAAGTTATTTTTAATTTTTTTTATTAAAAATGACAAAGTCAAATTATATATATTATATTTTATTTAATTTTTTAACTATTATATTTTTATTTTTAAAAATTATGAATTATCCTAGGACACTTACTTTGTTCTAATATGTATGATTAAAAAAAAGGTCATTGTGGCTGTTTAAATAATTTTTTTTATAAATTACTTAAAGAAAAGAAAAAATGATAAAGTAAATTAATCTGTTTTCATAAATTATCAACATATGTATTTAAAAGTTGAGGTGATTGATTTTTGTTTAAAGAAAAAATAATTAATTGGTTAATTATTTTATAAAATCTTATAAAAAAATTATATTTATATATGTACCCATTGAACATTTTTATTTATTCCCGGCAAGGTTCTAACTACAGCCTTAATGCAGAGCAAATACGTTTCTTTCTTCTGCTTGTTATTATACTCATATCTCACATATTCTCAACATTCTACATTGTATAAGTTAATTCTCAGTATGTGACAATTTTTGAAAGTAGGGACTTTGGTCCTGACATTCACCAAATTCATTATTTAATCTAATCATAATAAAAAATTTAGAATTATATTGTATTGATTTTAAATTTTTTATCAAATTTAATATAGCATAAATTAAGTTGAGAGAATGAGATAGTAAATTTTAAAAAACATTTAATTTTAAATTTAAAATATTTTTTAGATTTTTGAATATTTGTTTAAAAATGTATTATATTATTTAAATAAGTTAATATTATAAAAAATATTTAATTAATATAATAATAAATTAAATTAAATAATAATTATATTATTATTAGTAGTAGTAATATTAAATTAGTATAACTATGAAGTTAAACCTATAAAATCTATTGAAAGGTATTATTGTATTAAATTACGAAATTTTTGTATATAAACTATATTAGATTGAGTTTCATTAAATAAATAAAAAAATAGTCTAATATAGTTATATTGAATTATCCAATAAAAAAAATTCATACTCTCACTCACCGCACTTCTTGGTATTTTTGTCTTCACCTGTGAAAGTTGTGGTTTTGAGGTTGTTATTATACGGTATACTTACAGTGTGTAATACATTTACAACATGAAATTATATGTGCATGAAAAAAAATAATGGGAAAAGTATATTTTAGTTTTTTATTTTTAAAATTTATTTTTATTTATATCTTTTAAATTGATTAATTTAATCTTATAACTTTTAAAAATGCATTATTTAAAAGTGATCTTTTATTATAAAAATTCATACAATAATTAAATTAAGTAAATATAAAATTTTATATTTAAATTTATTATGACAATTTCGATAAAAAATTAAATTAATATTCTTTAGAATTTGAGAATTAATTAATCAATTTTTTAAGATGTAAAAACTAAAAAAATATATGATATATATATATATATATATATATATATATATATATATATAAATCATACACATATTTAATTCTAAAAAAACTTATAATTACTTTAATTATTAATATCTTTACCATGGTGAATTATTTTCATGGTCTCAACATTTCATACTACTATACTCATTTTACCATGTAAGTTTATGTATACAAATTTAAAAAATAAATTAATTGTTTTAAAATTTAAAATTAACTACTAAATAAGTTAAAAATAAAAACTTAAAAACAAAATTCACATTAGAAGCTGATCAGAGGTAGTTGAGTTGACAGTTATCAATACCTTTGGGCGGGAAAATACCCTTTCTTAAAACCATTTTATATATAAATGCATCACACAGCATAGATTTAACCTTCTTTGGCCTTCATTCAAACTCTTCATTCTGGTAATTCTCTCCTTCACTGGTTCACTTGGCCATGGCGAGTTCATCGCAGACTTACAAGCAAGCTTGGAGTAGAAGACCCAATCTATCATTTCCAGATCTGTGAGCTTTGTTTCTTTTTCATTCACATTAGACTTCTAAGTATTAGATTCATTTTTTTTTTTTTCTGTTTTCCTTTGTCTGTTTTCCATTTTGTTATCTTTATTACATAGTTTTCTTTCTTGGAAGAAGATGCTGTTCGTTTTCGTTGAATTTGATTTTTAATATCTGCACGTCAAGAAAAATGAATTAATGATTTCTTGATTCATGTGAAAGCAGGCACAGGCTACAACCGACCTATAGCCAAATGAATATGCTGAAGGAAAAGTACACTAATTTCGAGGCGATTTCCAATGGCATTTTCAAGTGCAAGCATTACGATCAGTCTCTTGTCATTAAAATCATCTCCATTCCGACAGCAGAACATAGGAACGGCGTTCCAAAGGAGATAATAAGAGAAGTCTCTCTTCTCAAAGAATTGGACCACACCAACGTTGTGAGGTTAGCATCATGCTTCTATCAATCCTGGTAGATCTGGTTCTTGTGGAAATTTCGCTTTCCATAAATTGTTCTTCTAATTGTTCTGTTCTTACTAAAGATTTTTCACTCTTCGCGATTATAATCATGGTCACATTAGCTCATTTGCCTATAATTTTTTACTTATATATTGAATAATTGTCAGTCTAATTAATTGTCTGCAATTTTTTATAATATATGTTTTTAATGTCAAGAATCGGGATAAAGTTGTGACTGTCATTTAAAATCTTGTTACCTTCGCATGCGTAGCTTTAATGTTCATTTGTTACTGAAATTTATCAAATTTAGTTTATTGAATGTTTAATTTTATGATAGAATATATTGATTATGTTTGTTGTTACCAGGTTGGTGGATGTGATGAGCAATAAACGTGATGTGTTTCTTGTTTTCGAGTGTCTTGACAATACTCTTCATAATTTCTTGATAAATCCAGCGATTTTTCTCTATCCGACACTGATTAAAGTAAGTGAAGTTTTCGTGACTTTTTGAGGAGTTACAGGAAATTTTGAAGAATTGGTGAGAGTGATAAATTGTTGTTGACATATAATTTTCATGAACAGGACATATCCATAGTGTATTATACATTTTTTTCCATAACAAGGTCATCTGGTCGTTCTTGCTCATATTAGGGTGTGCATCAGCAAATTAGTCTCATAAAGGAAGAGAAATTTAAAAAGATGTTAGAATATTATAGATTGAATTGTTGTACATATTACATCGAAAACAAAGTAATGCCACATAAATTTCTAGAGGCGGTGGATCTGATTAATTATCACTTCTCCACTTTATTATATTCACTTCCTTATCTTGCAGGAGTTTCTTTTTCAAATCGTTAACGCAGTAGCATATATCCATTCTCGCAAAATCCTTCATAGAGATTTGAGACCTGAGAATATTCTGATTGATTTTGGAACCCATGCTGTGAAAATCTCAGACTTTGGTTCGGCCAGAACATTTGAAGTTCCTTTTTTGTACTCTAACAAAGTATGATACTTCTGTAATTTTTATTTTATGTCAATCAGAATCGAAAAACATGATGTGAAAATACATATGCAGGTATTAGCTTCTGAATTAGAGTTAGATGTTGCAGTTCAATAACTTGTAACTTTTTTGCAATTTTCCTTTCTATTTTCAGGTGGGTTGTCCTTTTTATAGGGCACCTGAACTCTTGTTGGGCTCGTCCAATTACTCAACTCCAAATGATATCTGGTCGGTGGGTTGTATATTTGGGGAGATGGTTCTTGGCCAACCTCTATTCCGTGGTGGAAGTGATATGGAGCTGCTGAATGAGATATTTACGTAATTTTCTTAGAATAAATACAAAATTTATCTGCGCTTGTAAAGCAACTCATCTAATTAATTGGATATTTTATATGTGAAGCTTTCTTGGTACTCCAACAGAAGAAACCTGGCCTGGAGTGACTTCTTTCCGCAAAATCCTTGCGCAAATGGGCCCTCGAAAAGAACCGAAGGTATCCATGTTCTTTGGTTTATATGATCAATTAATTATTGTTTCATTTTCAAAATTTTGTGAACCAATAAGCCCTGTCTACGTGGTAACTGTTGCATTTTGTAGGACATGAATCGTATATTTTCTGAGCTCGAACCAGCTGGGATTGATCTACTTTCGGTAAGTTATTTTGATAACAGTATTTTATGATACTGCGTTTGATTTGAGCACTGGCAATGGAAGAAATTGTGTGTGCATTTGATTAAAAAAGTTTTTTTTTAGTTTTCCTTCTTCACAATTTTATTTGTAAAAAAACATGCATCATGCATTAAGAGCATGAGATAAAATATATATAAACTATTTTTAACTTCTCTTAGATAAAATACTTAGGTTTTTTGAAAATTATAAGTTAACATTATATATGAGTGAAAATAAAACAATGGAGAATTAATGTAGAAGGAAAACAAATCAGTTTAATCAAATAAATTAATTATTTATAATCGAGTCTAAATAGAAAAAATAAAAAATTGTTTAAAGTTTTTTAAACTTTCTTATATAAAATTGATTAATAGGACATGTTTCATATGTTCCAATATGAAAAGTATCTTATGTTCTTAATGGTATTTACCTACTATACTCTGTGAGAAACACAGGCCTTTTTACTGTCAATTAGTTTGGGAAATTAAAATTCTTTCTTAATAATTTATTTTCTACTTTTACTTATATTTTTAAAAATCTTTCATTTTGTTTTAGGTGTTAATTTATTGACAACGGATTGTTTCATGGTTCATAACCTAATTTTATGATTTATATATGTTAATTTTTTTATTAGTTTTTATAATTTTGGATGGTAAAAACTAAAAGAGATAAAAAAATAATAAACCGTAAAATTAAAATTTGTCTAACTTCATGAATAATTATTATTGTATGAATTTTCAATAAGGGTTTCAACTTATAAAATAGAGCTAGTCGATAGCTAAAGCATACTAGAAATATTTCTTTAATGGGACATTGTTTATTAGTAATTATAAGAATTTAATTAGACTAAAAATTCAATTGTCATGCATGTGATAAAATTATTGACTTGTATATATGGTAATTAAATAAAAAATTACATATAATGTAGTTCACGTTAAAAGAATTTTATTTTAAGTTTCAAAATTAAACTTATAAACCTACAAAAACTGGGAACGGATATATTAATTATACGCAGGAAGCATTTATTTGATGACTTTAATGTAAATTTCAACTAATAATAAATGTAAATGAATTGAATTGTAAATGTAATTTTCAAAAATATATTTAACTTAACTAAAAAGAAATTCTTGATTCCTTTGTTTTAAATAAGACTTTATTTAAATGACCTACTGATTTTTATAAGCTTTATATTAATAATTTGTCAATAACTCTTGCATATATATATGTAACCTAGATAGCCTTAATTTGCATTCTATTTACTTGATACGTTATAATTTTGTTTATTATTAAGTTGTATATATCATTTAACTAATTTCAAATTGTATAAAGTTTATTTATGCCTAGTGTTTTATGTTGTCAGAAAATGTTGTGTCTGTATCCAAATCATAGAATTTCAGCTGAAGATGCTGCTAAGCACACATATTTCCATGGAATATGAAAGGTGGTAAAATTGGTATTCATTTTCTTCGCCTGTGATCTCTCTCCCTTTCCACTAATAAAACATCTAACTTTTCCTGTAAGAAGATGATGACAGTATATTTTCAACCGTTGCAGTTAGTAATGAACATCGGACTTGTTAATAACACCAAGTAATTTCTGGCTTTCATTATTCTCGCCCATCCATAGACAAATAAATGTTTTTTTTTTTCCTACATATACTGCAGTGAACTACTGTGATTAATTTCATGAAATTTAACACCACGCGGGAAATACTTGCATTTTATTTACGAGTTTGAAATTTTCTGGGTTTCAGTTTTCCACAGGAAGAGAATTTAAAAAAGCGTTTACTTGGAGATCATACAGGTTATATATGATGAATAAATTGTGATATTTCCACACTTTTTATTATTCAAAACATGATAGTTGTTGTTTGAGATCTTGGCTGTAAGTCTGATTTTGAATCACATGGGAACAAGAAAATCTAAAGCTTCAATAGCTCGATGGAGAATGGAGACGCAATCTAAGTTCATAGAATTTGGGTTGAACTTACCTTAATCTCAAAAACTGAGTTGATACTGAATCCCAAAACTTTTATTTTAATCATTAGTTGATACTGAATCTCTAACACCCCATATCGAAAATTGAACGTTTTGAATATAAAGTTTCCAGATTACATAGGTTCAACAACAGTTTCCAGAGCAATTTAAAATTTAGATTTCAACTTAAACCAAACCCCCGACACTAATTGAAACTGCTCCCAATTATATTCAGACACTATCCTTAGTTACTTATTTATATCCAATGATATAATTGCTCTGCAGTGTAACATAAGTTTATCGTCCTAGACGATCACAAATAGCTCTAGCCACAAGCATCATCCTACCTCCAATATACAACACAGCACCGTAAAGAAACATATAAAAATGTCATCCATAAGTTGAGTGCCATGTCAACTCATACACATCAATTCAAAAGAGAACAGATTCTAGTTTGATCATACGAAAGACCAAGATAGTTCGCAAAACAGTAATAAACAGGTCCAAAGTTTAAATGAAACAGCATATATGTTTTTATGCAAAACAAATCTAATCAAGTTTCTGCATTCGCAATCCTCAGAACTGCACTTGAGGCCCCTGCTTGATCTCAGACATGATCTCTCTTCATCACAATCACAATTTATAGGTTTAGTAATTTACTTTTAATATTAATTTTTAATATTTTATTAAATTTATTAGTTTTTTTAATAAATTTATTATTTTAATAGTTTTCATTTAAAATTGTTTTTGATAATTTATTATCTCTAATAAATATAATTAAAAACTTAAAATTTAATCAATAAAAAATAATTAATTCAATCTTAAATTTTACTGTGACGACTAAAATGCGGTATAATGCGTCTGGTCTGGATATGATTATCAATCTTCTTTTTTAACTGTGGCTTATCAAGACAAAGAAAATGTAAGATTTGAATAATTCGGAGGAATAGTGTGCCCTGTAAGCAGCGTAATCTCTGCTTACCCTGTTCGAGTTCCCGCTCCAATGGCTACCTCTCCTCTCTCCGTTCCTCTCAATGTTTTCAAAATTCATCAAACCATGGCCAGCCCCTTTGTGCCAGAGGTACTATGCTCTGCCAAATCCGCATCTTTATGCTCTTACTCTGCCAATTTGTTACTTCTAAGCATTCAGAATTGTTAAAAATGTTAGACCTTTTTGAAACCCTTAACCATATTTTGTCCCTGCATAATCGGGTTGCATGGGAAGCATTAGGAATTATAGAAACGGGGAAAAAAACTTTTTTTTTTTCTTTTGGGAGATTGAAAAGATTATAAATTATTTTCCTGTTAGTTTGAGATGTAGGAATTGCGTGGTTGGCGTTTGTAGTGCTTAAAATAATGTTTGGACTTTGGAGGAAGGTGAAAAACAGATTAGGGTCTGTTTTGGTTGAAAACCTTTTTGTTGTTTGGTTTTGGGGTTTACTTTATGAGTTGACGATGTGAAGGAAATGTATAAAAGCTGGTTCTATAGGATTGAGTCTGTGAGAATGTAACAGAAAGCTTCTGTTCAATGTGCAAAACTGCTTATTATCAGTTGAAATGCACCTTTGAATTTCTATTCTTGTTTCTTTTAAATTGAAAGGCCACGTGGCATATGATTTGAATTCTTTTTCATTCCTCAAAGTATACCTTCTGTATTTTCCTCTATATTTTAGACATTATCTCTATTATTTATTTTGTTAAAGAAAAATTCTGATTTGGAAGTGGCGTCTGATTCATATGCTGAAAGTGCTTACGGATTGGTAATGGGAAATTGTTTCCTTTTCTTGTAGGTTGTAAAAGCAGTGGATGCCTTACATTTAGAGTTCAGGGCTGTTGATAATATGGTTGCGTGCAATACCACCCGAGTCCTTAGGGCTTTTCAGAATGCTCGAGTTGGATCTCATGTAAGCTTGCCCTTTGATTTAGATAACCTGTTTGCAAATGTACTATAATATTCTTGGATTAATAATTATTTAATATGATGCCCATCATGGGTTTGAGGCTAATGAAACCTACTTTTAACCGTTTTTAGTGTTGTTGCTAGAGATGCCTTTTAAGCCATTGGAATGATTTTGTTTCCCCTGCATATTTTGACATTTAGCTAAGTCAAAATTATTGAACAGTAGTCCCCGAAGGAGCTGAAAAACTGCAGTTCTTTACACTGTAACTGATATGTAGCAAAGAACCAGGAAATGAAACACTCTCCCACCCCCCTAAAACCAGAAAAAGGATAAAAAAATGTTTTGTGAAAGTAAAGGTTTATCTGCAAATTCATCATCTCATTAGTTTATTTTTTGTGTTTCCGTATTTTCCTAAATTTGTTTGATAGCCTCACATGTGTGGAGCCATGGGTCACTAACATCTTTGTTGGATGTAAATTACTATTCTGCCTGTAAGCCTTGGTAATTAATACAATCAGGAAATCAAACTTTTTGTTTATAATTTCTGCAGAATTAATTCTTATCTGTGTTTGGGGGTTCAAATTGGTTGCTAATATGCATATTGTTCCTATGCTATCAGCACTTTGGTGGTTGTACTGGTTATGGTCATGATGAAGCTGGGGGTCGTGGGGCTCTTGACCAGGCTTTTGCAGAAATCGTTGGGGCTGAGTCAGCTATTGTTCGTTCACAGGTTCTTAGTTTTCCATTTGTTCCTTTTTATTAGTTCTTACTGAAGATGAGCCTTGGCATAACAGTAATGCTATTGCCTTATATGATCTGGAGTCATGAATTCAAATTCTAGAAATACCACTTGTGGGGACAAAATTGCATGCATCTCTCATTTCTAGACATTACTAGCTCGGATCTTTGTGCTCTATACCTTTCTTAGTTTTTGCCAAAGTTGACAATATATGATTTATAATATTCTCATCTGTTAACAGTTCTTTTCAGGTACTCATGCAATCACATGTGCTTTATTTGCTCTCTTGAGGCCTGGAGACGAGGTAACACATTTTTTTCACATTCTCTGCTTTTCATTATTTGCGAAAAAATTACCCTCATATAGTCTATAGTTGTAGAATATTTTTCTGTTGAATACTTGTATATTTGTAATTGGAATAAGGTGTAGACTAATATAGCTGTCAGCTTTTGGCTGTTGCGGGAGCTCCATATGACACTCTAGAGGAAGTAATTGGGAAACGGAAGTCTGGTGGACTGGGTTCTCTCCAAGATTTTGGGGTGAAATACCGAGAAGTTCCAGTATGACACTACTTAGTAATACTTCTTTTCCTGGCCGAAATTCACAAGTCTGCTTTTTGAGATTCTTCTTTGATATTTTTCCTCCAGCTTACTGAGGATGGTGAACTTGATTGGAATGCACTGACAAGTGCTGTCAAACCCAAAACAAAGTGTGCACTGATACAACGGTCATGTGGTTATTCATGGCGTCGGAGTTTGAGTGTCAATGACATAGGAAGAGCGATAAAAATAATCAAGGTGAGGTTTCTTAATATGGCAGAAATGATGTACCTTAGTAGTTTATTTGTCTGTTCTATTCTCCTGTAAGGATACTCATGGCATTTTTGCTCTATAACATGCCCTCAAATTACATGTACAGATGCAAAATCCCAGCTGCTCAGTCATGGTTGACAACTGCTATGGTGAATTTGTTGAAAGCATTGAACCTCCCATGGTGGTATGTGATGATGTGACACTATTCTCTTGTGTTGGTTTATTCCAGGGTATGTAGTATTACATATATATACTGCACATTGGACGCAGGGTGCAGATTTGATCGCAGGCAGTTTGATCAAGAATCCAGGTGGGACAATTGCACCGTGTGGTGGATACATTGCTGGGAAGCAAAAATGGGTTGAGGCAGCTGCAGCTCGTCTCTCTGCTCCAGGACTTGGTGTGGATTGTGGCTCAACTCCTGGTGATATCATGCGAGCCTTTTTCCAGGGATTATTTCTTTCACCTCAAATGGTTGGGGAAGCAATCAAGGTACTAAATGCTTCACTTTAATAGATAGAATGTGCTTTTATTGTGTGTATCTCGTAGTGAGACAATCCTTTAACCTATGTAAGGGCACCTTCATAATTGCTGAAGTTTTGGCATCTAAAGGGTATAAAGTGCAGCCACTCCCCCGTGTCCCCCGTTTTGATACGGTTCAGGTTTTCATTCTGAATCTTCTTTGTTTTCTTTTTAAGTAAATTATATTGTCAGCATTACTAGCAAAAATGTGTTGCTGGTAGAAAAGCTGTCCTTGAACTAGACAACTAGTTAGGTCCTATTTGGATAAACTTTTCAAGAAGTACTTGTAGGATAGAAAATGATAACGTAAATTAATCCCAGCCTCTTTGATAAGTTAAGATCAACGTATATTACTTAACTACTGGAATAGTTAAATAAAGGAACTTCTAAAAGCATTGTGGTATGTAAGTTGACTACAACTTATGCGAGAAGTTAGATTCATTTTGCCTTTGCATCTTCTTCTTCTGAAGTACTTCTTGATCAATTTATACAAATAGGATCTAAGTCATTTAGGAATCTCTTTCAATAAGATAACTATTCAAATGAAAAAAAAAATCATCTTCAATGCCAATAGGCCGTCCAGCTTGGAAGCCGAGAGCGTCTTCTTGCATTCTGTGAGGCTGTTCAGAGAAGCTCTCCAGTAGGTTCATATACCAAACCAGTTGCAGGCACCACCGCTGGATATGCATCAGAGGTCTGCTCAGATTTATCACCACAATCTACGCCCAAATCCATTATCTTTTGATAGTTTTGAACCTTTTAAGGATGTGTACTTTGCTCTGGTAGTCGACATTAACAACTCTTATATCAATGTCACTCAGGTGATCTTTGCTGATGGAACCTTCATTGATGGCAGTACAAGTGAGCTTTCATGTGATGGACCTCTTAGAGAGCCATTTGCTGTATTTTGCCAGGTATTCATTTGTATCATTCAAATATACTACCTATCATTTGCTCTTACATTCTCGTTTAAGGTCTTAATTTGATTCTCCAAATACAGGGTGGCACCCATTGGACTCAATGGGGACTAGTCCTAGGAGAAGTTTTGAAATCTCTATGATAGAATGCAATTTTCAGTCAGTGAGTTTATTCAAAATTTCAGTATAGTAGTAGTAATTTCTCATATTTGGATTTGTAATCATTACTAATTCAACCTTCCTTTTTCATCTTTTGGAGTATAAATTGTTGTTTCTTCTGCCATTTGAATAAAAATAAGAACTCAACTTTTCTTTTTCCGTAAATTATATCTTCCCTAAATAAGTATTGAAGTTACCCCATTCCTTTTAAATTAATGTTTTACAATTTAATTTATTATTTTTCCTTTTAGGACGAAGAGTCAATACGTAAAGATTAATTATTATATAAAATAAATATATTATATAGAAGGTTATTATTAATTAAATTTAAATTTTAAAAAATAAAGTTTATTTCATTATCTATTTTTTAAAAAACAAGTTTATAATTTTTTTAGACATATTTAAAACTCAATCTCGATTTTTTATTTATATTTTAAAATCAAAATAAAACTTCATAAAATATATAAAAAAAACTAATTAGTTATAATAAATAAATAAAATTATGTTAATATTTTATATTATTATATATATTAATTTGTTATAATAATAAATAAATAAAATTGTTGTTGTCTTTTTATTTTATGAAAGTTATTGTGAGGTATTTGTTTTATTTTTTATTTTTTTTATCTTATGTGAACATAAGAAAAAAAGAAAACTAAAAAAATTAGAGAACAAAAATGTTATTTTTTATGTTATAAAAATGAAATTGTAAAAAAGAAAAAGAATTGAAAATTAAAGAAAAAGGTTTACAAATTTTACATAAAGAAATATGAAAATGAACTCTGACAAAAAAAAATATATAAAAATGTGAAAAAAGTAAAATGAGTATGATGAAAAAAAAAGGAAAAATGGGAAAAAGGAAAAAGATGAGAGGAAAAAATAAAAATATAAAGATAGATGAAAAAAAAATTATAAATACAAAATTACGTAAGAAAATGAATATAATATTTATTATAAACAAAAATTTAGAAGTAAAAGAATATAAAATATAAATTTTATTTATATTTGTAAAATTATTTTAATTTATTTTTAAGAAATAATTATTATATATAAAAAAAAATGGTGGTAAACCGTGGTAACCACTGATCCCCGTAAATCTGTCTCTATTTAGTCACAAATGACATAAATTAAGAGTGATAATGGGTTGAATTGGATTGATTTTGAAGAGAAATCTGATCCAGTCACTTTGGTTTTCTTAATTCGTCAAGTTCGTTGATTTGGTTTAAAATATGATTCAAGATGATTTGCATTATATACTATTTCTGGTCAAAATTTGATTCAAGGTCAAAATTTGATCCATTTCGATTAAATCGAAGCTTAGGTTCTAAAACAAATTTTAATTATGTAGATTTTTTTTATTTAGACTAGCAAGCGGTTTTCAATCGAAAAATACATGAGAATCGAAAATCTCATGGTTTCAAAAAATGTAAACAACACAAATTAGTATGCAAATCGAAAGTACTATTTTTAATATTTTTCATTAAGAGACGCGGAGTAAAGAAAACAGTAAAAAAATGTCGAATCGAAAGATAATGCAGAATATTAAATTGCAGAAAAATGTAAAGTGCAGAAACCTCAAATTTGCATTAAGTGTAAAAGGCAAGGAATCAAAATTGCAGAAATGTAAATAGCAGGAAATCGAAATTGCATAAATGTAAATGACGAGGATCTTAAACGCATAACCTTAACTTGCATAAAAGTAAATGAAAAGGAATCGAAAGGACAAAACTTAAAGTTTGACAAACGTAAACTGCAATGAAAGTAAATTACCAGGAAAAGTAGAGAAAGCGATAAAGATAATTAATGAAAACGGAAAGCCAGAGCATTAGAAACTTCATGATGTATCGTTCTCTTGTAGACTGTTCACTTGCGTCTCTATTGTCTCTGTCAATTCCCCCTCCTCTTCAAGCTTCATTCTATTTATAGGCGTCCTCCAATGTAACCTCCAAAGAGCAGTTAAAAAACTGTCACCACGTTCCATGTGCACGATCTTTTATTTTAACTTACAGTTTAGGAAACTGCTTTCACGTTCTATGTGCAATTTAATTACTTCTCGATTTCTAACCTCATCCACGATGTGGAAAGCCACTCTACACATTCCAATATGCATGATAAAACCGTTTCCCTCGATCTCGATTCCAATCATCAAATACGATTTCCCTTGACCTATTTTATCATTACCTTCATCGATTTCCCCCTCTTTTCTTGATTTTCGATTCCCATTCTCGATCTACACGTTCATACTAGTAGTCACCGGGTATCTCCCCATCACCCATATGATCTTCGATTTTTCTCTTTTGTTTTTCGATCCTTGTATCAATTTTCCACTAACAAAATGCCCCCTTGGAAGAATATAAATATTTGTATCAATTTTATTTTATATTCTTTCAAAATGCTTCCCGCCCTCAAACATTCTGGAGGCCCAAAATAACTTTTAGGGTTTTAGGGTTTCTGGGGTTTTTCTGCTTTATGTCACCCATCAAATCACCTCCTTTCTGTTGTCACACTGCACACGCCGCGTATTAATTACCCCTTTTTTCCCCGCCTTTCCAAATACCCTAATTAGCCTCTTTAAATACTTTTATCAATTTTTTACCCTTGTTTTTTACCACGAACCTCACTTCTCCTTCGTTGCACTTCTTCATCTTCAACCTTTCGTCTTCCTCTTCTCTACCGACTGTAATGGCGACCTCCAAATCCTCTGATTTCTCCGCCCCACCACTTTCCTCGGCGACCTCCAACCTAATAGAGATTAATGGGAAGAAGTTTGCTCCGGTCCCTTTGATGGAGGATGTCTCACAAAGGATTGCCGAGACCCAGGTACTTATCCCTTATGTTGCTGATAATATAAATTATGCCTTTGGTGGTCCTATCCGCTACTGTGGCGGATCGTTTTCTTCTTCCCTCAGCCTTTCTTCAGAGAGTAAGGCTCTTATTCATCAGTCTGAGGTTCGGATTGATTTTCTGAATATCGTCTCCAAAGTATATCGAACAGGCCCTCCCCACAAAAAACCCTTGTACATTAGGTGGTTTGACCGGGTTAAAACTAAGTTTGAGAACCATTGGAGAGACGTGGGGATCTTCGATTTCTTACATTTTTCTCGATGTGATCTAACGTTTTTAGATATGGCCATGTTTTTATCTGTTGTCCATCTGTGGAATAAGGATTTACATGCTTTGGAACTTCCTTGTGGTCCCCTTTCACCCACCTTTTTTGAAATTGCTGCAATTATTGGATTGAAGCCCTCAGGGGAGAAATACTATAAGGGTGTTTTCCCTTCGGATAATTCTTTAAGGTCAAAAATCGATTGGGAATCGAAGACATATGGACATTTTCTCGAAAAACATTTTATCGATGATCACACAGTAGTTGTTTCTGATGAAGAGCACGTGGCCTTCCTGGTGTATTGGCTTTGCACCCACGTCTTTTGTCCTCGATCCATTCAGATCTCGTCCCACCTTTATAATCTTGCCTATCTCCTCCACACTGGCCAACCACAGATTTGTTTAGCAAAGTTGTTATTAGCCCATGTTTATACTTCTTTTGATGAAGCCATCGATATTTTGAATACCCCTAGGGCTTCAGGGAATTTTCAGGTCCCATTTGGTTCATTCAATTATGGCTTACCTCAATTTTTGAAAGTATCTTCCCTCCAACCTCCAACATTCCCCCAAGTTTAAATTTGGAAGGTGTTCGATTGTCCACTTGACACCCTCACCACAAACCCGACGAGACTAGTTATCGTAATTACCTAAGATTTTTGTTGACTCGATTTCATTTTGAGTCGAACTTGGCCCCCTTCACCATATATCAAGGGAAAGTAAGTGACAAGCTTCGAGGGCCGGCATGGTTTAAGTCAAAATTTCCTGCTCTTACTCCCGGGTTACAAGCAGAATTGGTCAAAGTGTGGAGTAATTACCTCACCCAAGATGTTCTGGTATCGGGTTTCCAATCGAAGGATCTTCAACTCGTCACTTATTATCCCCAGCTTTTCTCGCGGCAGTTTGGTCTGAGTCAAGCTTTACCCTTTTTTTCCCCGATACCTCCTCAAGGTCCAAATTCAGTGAATCGACTGTTGGACGGGAGCTTGCCAAACTGTCGCCAAAAACCTCGATGCATTTTTACCCTTATACTTTTGAATCGAACTATTTATCTACTCTTGGTTTTTCTCATTGGTGGACCGATTGATTTTCAAATATTCATTCTAAATTTGACATAGTCCAATCAAAATTGACTGCTCGTCCTTCTCTCGTGTTGCAGGACAAATCGAAGGCGAAGAAAGGTACATACTCTCACTATCTCCAAATATCTCGATTCGAAAATTTTTATCGAGCATGCTACAACCCCTTGAAATTAGAAGTGACCTTCTATGATGTTGTTATTTCCCTAGTCAATAAAACAGACACTAACCGATTAAACCATAAAATAATCAATCCTCGAGGCAAAACCCCATTTGAAATGTATTGTCCCAACCATCTTCCCACTTTCCCTTCAGCTCCTTTTGGACTCGCCAAACCTTTAACTCATCCTAAATGGGTTCGAGAGTTAAGATCCTTGAAAGAAACTTTTTATCCCAAACCCAAAAACAAAGAAATTTCGATATCGAAATTGTCCTACTTCCCTTACCTAAATCTCCCTCAAACTTTTTTTCCTCCCTGGCTTGTTCATATCGACCGAGTCAAGATTTTGACTTCATCACCCTTTGGTGAGATTTTTATTGCCTCTTTTAAAAATGTTTTCAATCTTCTTCAAATTGCAATCTAACTGTTTTCCTTTTACGACAGTTTCGAAGTCTCATAAAACCGTCGCCTCCGAGAAAAACTGGGAGTCTTCGGACGAGTCGGATCCATCGGCCCCCACTCAGAAACGCAAGCATTCTGCCACCATTTCTTCATCTTCGAAAAAATCGAAGGTTTCTTTTTTATTCCTTATTGTCTTATTTATTCAACTTTCTTTGTCTATAGCTGATTCACTTCTGATTTC